GATAAGTGTCCTAGGAGTTTCCTAAGTGTGCGGCTTTAGGGGAAATTAGATCGGTCTAGACTTAGAAAGCTCTAAGTTAGATTTTGCCGAGGAAAATCTAGGTTGCGCCGAGAGAAAACGACCTTGGGTCGAGAAATCTCACCGCGGGTTGGCTTGCTCGTGTCGCGGGACGATTTGTGTGACCGCGGGTAAGTGTTGCGGGACGCGGGTCGATGTCGTTGGACGGGGGGAAGGACTTTCCCACACGCGGTAGAGTGCGTGAAGACACGCTGGGCACGGGCTGGGGCGACAGTCATGCTGTGCCACGTGTCATCATGCGCGGGTAGCGTCTGACACGACCCGGGTAACGTCTGAACCCATGGGTCGCAACTGACACACGCAACCACCTCGGTCGGGGTTGGAACGTCCCGAACCCGATGCCAGGACCGGGCGGCCCGGAACGCCACAACCCCAGGCGCTCGGGACTATCAATACTTCTGTTTAGAACAAATCCAAAACACAAACACGATTGTCCCGCAACACCCTTCCCGCCCATCGCTCTCCGAGGCTTCAAGAGTTTCCTAAACTTAGACACGCTTATAAAACTCAACCTTCGGTTTCTAAGACTTACATTCCAACCTATTTATCTACTTCGAAAGCTCAACTTAGCAACCTTAATTTCTAGAATCTTTAGACCTCACATTCTGACACAACACCAAATTGCCAACTTCTAATTCTAAGAAGCACCTCAACACTACATGACTTATCTAGATGCCATGACACTCCACGTCCAAATCCATCCGTAACTGGGTTCTCATCGCACCTTCGAGGTTAACACACTTGCTTGAATTTCAACCCAAGACTTAGGAAATATCATGCATACTCCATTACACCTTCCCACTTGCTCATAGTAGGACCATTCACTCAACCGAACACAACACAAGATTGAGAAACATCACACACACTTAGAATCATTTCACAACATAAGGTTCGCAAATAGCCGAAATAATACAAGTTTTATGGAGCACACCCTTTCCACAAAACACAACGGCTCCATACCGAAACAAGTTCATCCAACCACAACCGAAACAATACTTAAGAGTTTTCACACACACCAAAGAGAAGAGGTTAGAGCCCATTCAAACCTTTCCGGGCGCCATACTAAGGCGATGGAGTTCTAGGGTTCCTACACTTACTACACATCCTATCCCCTAAGGTTGGTTGTTCTCCGCCGCGACCGTTTGCTTGAAGGGGAGAAGGCACGTGGGTAGTGGGGGCCCTTATGTCCGGATGAGTCACTGGGCAAGACGTCGCATAGTGGCCAGGCTGTCCGCATGTGTAACAGCTCACGAAGCGGGTTCGGTCATGTCGTTCCTCGACTGGCACCGCGTCGCGTATGCACATGAGTACGTTCGGTGGCCATACTGCCCGCAGAGACGACACAGAGTTGCGCTGGCAGATGACGGACCAGATCCGTACAGATAATTCCTCTTTTCCCTTGGGGTCAAGTACCCTTGATCACGGCTGGAGGATCCATAGTAACCACTTCCCGTTTCCCACCGAGTTGTCCCCCAACCACTCAGTCCCGAAGTGTAGAGCTGGGTCTCGGGGTTCATGAACCCAGCTTCTCTCCATCTATGTCCAAACACGTCCGCGCTAGATCCGCTCGCATAATCCTTCATGCCCGAACGTTGCCTTGCCGGGTTCGCCGTATAGCCTCTGCTCGCGTTCTGGCTTGCGATATAGGCCCCAATTCCAAGGGTGTCTTTCCCTGGGATCGGCCTAACAAGGCCCGACTCTTGCCCAAGGGAGACAGTTGGTTGCGGTGCACAGGCTTGCTGCGAAGCCTACGGTTGCAGCCAGTCGCGGATCACGGGAGGACAGTAAGTCCCATTCCGCAAGTCCGCAAGGTATGGCTCCCAGTACTGGTTCCAACTCGCGATGGCTTCCGCGGTTGAGTACTCAGGCTGTTGCGGCTGCTCTTGGTTCTGACTCGGCAGTGGGGGCATGCGGATCGGAGATTCAACCGGAGCTTGACTATCGGCGTGCTCAAGGGACATAGCACTGTCGGATGAAATCTCGATGTAGATGGGCGAATTCGGTACAGGGACAGGCGCTGGGGACTGCTCGGGGCTGAGCATGAACTACTCTTCTTCCGGGTCTTCCAAGGGTTCCTCTTCCGGATCCTCCTCCGGTTCAGTTTCCATACTTTCCTCACGCTCATTGTGATAGGCGTTCGGACCATAGGGACTCGGAGGGCGAAGCGGGGTTTCGTTCCCGTGTGGTAACCACGGTTGATTCACACAACCCGACTCTCTTGCTGCTCTAGAACTTCCAGAGTCTTCCATCATGATTCCAGCCAACTCGTCAGACAAGTCTTCACTTCCGGACACGTCCACTACTCCAGACCACGGTCCACCCCTCATTGCTCTTCTTGGCGGCATTTCGTTCCTAAATCAACAAGGGTTAGTCCTAAAATTC